TGATGATATGACCTTCTTTTATCAATCGATCAATTTCTTTGTCTACCTTATCTTGTAGACTGATAGGCACCCGACGCCCCTTTTGTTGTATCGGCTTTAGGTTTTCAAAGAATTTGGCTCTTACTTTAGCGTTTCGGATTTTTCCTATTTTGGTAAATAAATTTGGCTAAAACTTACAGAAATACGTTTGTAAATCATCATATTCCTCCTTTTCTTGACTGCTCCCTTCCCCCGTGATTCCCATCACTTTCCTTCTTTGCACCAACTCAAGATGATTTCCTGATATTACTGACACTTGCGCTGGTGCTGCCCAGCCGTTCAACGCCATCGTCACCGCTATCTTCCCAAGTATGTGTATTCGGTTGTTATTGTAGTCCAAAAATTCATCTTTAGAGGGTTGTAACTGAATATTAGTTTTACCTAATGTTGCTTTCAGATCCGTCATGCTGAAAATCGTCACTGGAGATCCGCTATCTATCCACAGCCACATCTTCTTTTTCGCACCTCGACCTGGACTCGGGCCCCAGGGATCTTTAGTTCCGTCATGTTCTTCTTCTTCTTGATTGACATCACCATGTAGTCATCGGATCCTGACGTCATGGATTCATTCTCCCCGCTTCCCTGCTGATTCACCCATGCCACTGAATCTTCCGCCACATTATCGACACTCTGCATGCTCTGATGGTGCTCATTTTCATCCCTCACCAATCCGACTCGTCCTCGTCCCCTCCACTGGTTAGTACCTCTTCTAATTCCTCTGCATGTGCGTTCAAAATGTCCCAGTTTCGGACACAAATAACATGTTGCTCCCTTTGCAGGACAACTCGCAATATGATCAAGAGTAAAATTCGGCGCCTCACAATTATAACACCTACGGTTATTTCCACCGCCCCACTGCTTGATCCTTGGGTGTATCCTCCACGTCCCCCGCTTGTTCGACCCCTGAAATACCCTTGTCTCCTTCTGATATTATTAACTGGCTCCTGTTTGATGGTTATCGGCGGTGCGGACGAAGCTGGTTTTCCAGTATAGGATTTATATGCACGTTCACCTCGCTCATAAGACAGTGCGATCCTATAGACTTCCTTTGGTAGTTTTGTTGATCGTGATAATTCTCTTTAGCAATCCGATTCCCGCATGTTCATAATAAAAATATCACGAACATTTTCAGCCGCGTTTGCAAAATCACACCTGCCCGCAAGAGCACTTAATTCAGCGTGGAATTTTTCAAACGTTTCATTTTCCCTCTGCTTTCTTCCATAGAAGAGTCCCCTCTTATGTGTCACATTTTGTTCGCGTTGAAAAACATTTTGCATTTCGTCCAATACCCGTGGGTACCGTACCGTTTTAACATTTACCGCCGGTTTTCGGGCTTTAAATATCCGTTGCGCCTCGTCTCCAATACAGAGATATAGGTTAGACTTCAACTTCTTCTCCGACTCAGTACGATTTTTCCCGTTTACCTCCTCTGGCAACACTGCAATAGCCGCCGCATTTAACGTACGCGCAAAATAAAAATCGTCAGGGTCAATGTCATATTTTGCGATCATGCCCCAGTGGAACTTTATGATCCACTCCTCCCAATAGATGGGGGGTTCTGGCGTTCGTGCGTCCCAGAATGATACTATATTAAGCGGATTTCCCCCCTCCTTTTCGTTCCGCTGACTGCGCCATCTTGAAGTAGATAATTGTATCGTAGAAAAGAAAAGAATAGTTGTATAACTTGAATTATAAGCAACTGTAAGGCTCATCAAATCTAAATCTTACTGCAGCTTTTTGTTTTAGATCGTACCGGACGATAGAGATCACAAGGTCATGACAGCAGGTCCCCAGACAGAAAGAAACAAATTCATATCACTTACATAAACTCAAACTGGTCCCTATCTCAGAAAGTAAGTCGAAAAAACCGTACCAGATAACACAAAGGGCAGTTTAAAAACGGAAAATGAACCGACGCAAATTAGGAAAACCAATAATACGAAAAAACTTACCACTTCAATTAATCCATTTGCAAAAATAAAACAGCACAACAGCAGCCTGCACGTGAAAGAAACGTCACGTTTCTAACAAATTTGCAAGAAAAATTGTTTACCGGAAAAAGTGAGCTGCAGCAGTTTGTAAAATTGAACACGAGATAAAACAACCTGAATAAACTTAATCCGCAAAAAAGCTTCGCAAAATCAGCGTTGTTAATTGTATTATATAGAGGAATCATTAAAACTGACCTTCAATTATAGTGAAAATTGTTTAATTATCAAGAAAAGTCAGCGCTGTGGCAACTAAGCCGACAAAAAATAAGCAGGCAAGATGGGCCGACAATTTTTAATCAAACGGAATGTTTTATAAGTTTGAAAAGAAATAGCTCCTGGTACAATTCGAGAGCCGTTTATGTGTTGTCCAAAGCTTGTGTTGTCTCAATGATTCAATAATTCAGTTTGAAAAATTGTGGGCAGTGAAAGAAGTGCATATTCCAAATCGATAACGCTTGCTGAGCGTAGAAAAACGTATTGCTGCGACGGTGAAAAGCTTTTTAGAACCATCACATGCGTATATGCAATTCATTTAACTTTTGAAACCTTTATAATTTTAGTGACTATCATCACTACACTACGGTGAGAAAACGATCTATATTCAATAAAAAGGGAGAAAGGGTACCTTTACAATTTCAAATCCACACGTTTCTCCGCTGATACCAGCAAGAAGTTAGAAAAACCTTAGATAGCAATCACCGAAGATTGTAACTCAGAGGTGAAGCTGAGTTTCGCAAACACGCGAGAAAACCTCAAACAATAGCTGTAAAAAAAATAAAATAAAAAAGGAACGTAAAAATAAGCCTGACCAGGACATTTTGAGCCACAAAACCTCGCATCTGCGCCATGGACTTTGAACATTTACTAATTCTAGCGACCAATGAAGCAGCTAGATGTGCTAATAAACTACCAATGCTAGGCCGCAAAGGTCGAGCCAAATATAAATAGACAAATATTTCATATAATAATTTGGCATATTATAAATTAAAGGCTTTGCATGTAAACAATTGAAAAGCATCAAGCCAAATCATGTATTAAAATGCCTATTAAAAAATTACAAGATTCGAAAAAACTCCCAAATGGAGTTTTTACAGCATTGCAAGCTAGCGAATAGAAAATGAGACAAAATCAAAAAAAACTTGGAGAAAAATAATTTGAGAAAAAAAAAACAATCGAAAAGCAGAAACAACAGTGTTAGTTCAGCTTAAACTATTTACCGAGCGGCCACTAAGCCGACACTAAAAAATAAAAAACACAGCCCACAGACATTTGGTAAAAGAGTCATGAACGCAGAGAAACAAAAAAAATAAAATAATTAATTTTCGAATTTCAAAGGAGAAAAAGACATTCAAGCTCTGTGAATTTTTAACAATTTATGATTGGCATTTTTTTGATAAAATTAACCTAATTTGAGAAAACTGGGTCAATTAGTAAAAAAAAATTTTCGCGGGGAAATCTGAAAACTAATTTCCATTTTCAACACTAGAAGTCGATCACGTTTTTCGTGACTTTTTCACTTTTGCTGTTCGATAGTTGAATTCATCTTGCTTTCAACATAGGAAATGAACTGAAAAAAAAATCAGAAGTCAAACCAAGAAAAATCAAATTAAAATGCAAACAAATTTTAAGACGTTTTTTCGAAAATAAATCAAAACAAAATACAACCAAGACCTATAAAAGAGTAAACACTAAGTACATGAACCATAAAAATTACCAAAAATTTTTTGTCATAAAAAACTTTGAGCAATTAACTTTGAAAAAATTTGCAACATATTACATAAACTTTACGACAAAATTTGTTGCCTTTGAAGCGGCACAAAATAATATAACGAAGCCCATCAAACATAAAACGAAACTATTCCGTCTGAATGAAAATTTTAAGCAAAAAAAACCATAGCCAACTAACAGTTGGAAAAAAGTAATGAACTCAAGGAAACTGAACACCAACTGACTTGATTTTTTAAGAGCATTCAAATTTTGAATTTCGAAAGAAAAATAGATGCCCTCAAAGCTCTTTGATCTAGTAGAACAAATTATGATGGACACTTTTTTGTTAAAATTAACCCAATTTGTGAAAACTGGATCAAAACGTATAACTTTTATTTCGCTGGGAAATCTGATAATTAATCTCCACTTTCGAAATCAAAAACCGATCACATTTTTCATGACCTTTCCACTTTAGCTTTTCGATAGTGGAGTTTGCCTTCCTTTTAATTAAAAAAAATAACTTGAGAAGAAATCAAAAGTCAAACCTCGAAAAAAAAACAAAAAAATCAGCATGACCTATATAAGAGTACTCACTACGCTCATTACTCTTAACAAAAAGGAAAACCAAGGAAAATGTCAGGGCTAATAATTTTACAAATTACATAAATAAATCAAAAACACTTGCATATACGATGAAAAAAGCTGACAGCACACGAAAACTCCGCGATGTGGCAACTAAGCCGACAAAACATAAGCTGACAAATGAAAGTCCGACCATTCAATTTTTCCTGGCCAAAAAAATTTCAATCATGCATTCTGAAGAAAAAAACATTCTTTCATTCTGAAAACGACCCTGTCGGGACTCGAGCTCCAGACCTTAGTGTTCTAATGCAACCGGATTGCGGGAGAAAAAGTCTATTCCCGATTACAAGACACTTGCTCTCGCTGTAATTATTTCCCGATACTGTACGGTTGGTTGAAACAAAAAGCTCTTTTTTCTATTCAATTGGTGAATCGAAAATGCATCAACTATGTTAACTTATTACTAATCGAATGTCATAGCCAATACTATCAAAAAGCTGTAAATGTTCCAACAAAAGTGGCCCCAATATTTACGAATTAGGTTGGAAAGAGAAGAATACTCGAACTATTACACTTTGCTAAAACCCGCTAATTTGTAATTTATGAGCCTAAACTGGCTATTAAATAGTTCTTATTGTCAAACTGAAAAGCGTTCACAGAAGATTTTAATCAAAAATGTACCTTTGGTTTTACTGCTTTGTCTATCTCCATCATGAACTGGTCAAGTGGGTCAACTTCTTCATCCGGCTCCTCTTTAACTGCTTCTGGTTCTTTTGTTTCATTCCCAGTCGGACCCGGTTTAACCCCCTCGCCATTTTGTTTCACAGCAGAACTGTTCGAACTTCCCTCTCCGGCCTGAAATAAAGACAGAAAATGCACCGAGTCGAGGCACAGCTTCGTATTATTTTCCCTTTAAGGCGTAAAACTGGTATTGAACAATTTTTGATACACTTCCAGTTTTAAAATTCTTTCAAAAGATACAACAATTTCAATAATTAAAAATAACGTTCAATAAATTTTTCAAAGCTTTGCCCTCACATTGTTAGTGGAGGGGGCTTCGGTCCCTGTTCCGTGGTCCGGTCCTTCGTCGCTGGTGGCTTCGTAGTCGTCCTCCTCGTCGTTCTCCAGTGACCAGGACTGCTGCTGATTGACACCCCCAGACAACGCCCCCTTTCCACCATTTGCAAGAGCTGTATTTGAAGAGCCATTGGGAGCAGCTGTAGAGATGTCCTTGTTGGCCGAGCGCCATTGTGCAACCTATCACACACAACACAAAACATCATATAACACTTACACTCTACCTTTCATCAGCTACCAATGTCAAGTACAATTCATGATTCACACGGTCAGGACTCACTTCAATAAGAGCAGAAGTTGATCGAAACAAAACATAAGTGACCAGTTTCTATGACAGTAGCTCAAGAAATTGCGACATTAGAAGGTTTTTGCCAAGAAGGGAAAAGCTTTAAACATCTTTTCTTGTCCTTTTTTATTTTGTCGCATTATTATATGTTTGCGGTATATTAGTATGTTCGCACTTTTTCTCTGCGCTTCTGCATCTCCTGTTCCAGTTCCTTCTGGATTTCCTCCTGACTCTTTCCAGAAGACAATATCTGGGCCACTTTATCCTGATATGAGGAGCCTCCACCACCACTTCCACTTTTCCCTTTGTCATCTCTGCGAGACCTGAACACGGCAAAAAAAATAAACACAGCGGTTGAGGTGTACTGCGTAAACACAAGCTAAATACGTGGGAAAAGCTCGGATTTGAATACGCAAAAAATACAAATATAAAATTGAAAAAAGGCCTAAAAAACACAGCGAATAGACAGCTGGAATGACCGTTCATGAACTCAAGGCATGCTATAACGCTGTTACACATGTATGCAGCAAAGTGCGACCAAAAGTGAGCACTACTTTAAGCGAGTTGGGTTAGAAAAAAGTTCATTCGTAATATAACACTACACTCGCCAGCTCGGTTGTGTAATAACTGTATCAACATAGTTTTAAGTTTTCACTCACTTTTATTGTTACGTGAATATGAAGTGAACTTAAAAAGAAACCAGAATGGAAAACCGCCAGAACATGAATTTGAGCGTAAACAATTTTTGTGAACAGAATTTCTTAGAAAAACATAGCCAGCTGACAGTTGGGAAAGAGTAATAAAAGCAAGGAAATAGGAAAAAAAACTGACCTGTTTTTTGAAAAAACATCAACTTTCGAAATTTTAGGAAAAAGTTTATGCCCTTAAAACTATTTGATTTTCATGAAAAATTTATGATTGGTGCTTATAAGATAAAATTAACCCAATTTAAAAAAACTGGATCAATAGATCAAATTTTTATTTCGCTGGGAAACTTGATAAAATGCCATTTTCGAAATTATAAGTCGATCACGTTTTTCGTGAACTTTACATTTTTGCTGCTCAATAGTGGAGTTTGCGTTCCTTTTAACAGAGGCAATGAAGTGAACTTAAAAAAAAATCAAAAGTCAAATCGCGAAAAAACAAATACAAGAGTGAACAAATTTTAAGACTTGTTCTTAAAAACACCAAGACTTATATCAGATTATTCACTGCGTTCAATATTTTTTAAAAACCAAAAGGATTCAAAATTTGCTTCTTTCCTTAAAACTTATAGATAGCCAATAAACAGCTGGAAAAGAGTCAATGAACACTGGCAAACTAAAAAAAAAGACTTACTTGTTTTATACAAAATCTCAACATTTGAATTTCATCAAACATGGATGATTGACGCTTTTTTTGATGATATTAACCTAACGTGATAAAAATGGATCAATAGTTAATTTTTTTTATTTTGCTGAAAAATCTGATAAACAAAACCCGTTTTCGAATCTACAAGAACATCACGTTTATTGTGACTTTTACAATTTCGCTATTGGATAGTGGAGTTTGCCTTTCTTTTAAACAATGAAAAGAAGTGAACTTAAAAAAGAAAAAAATCAAACCGCGAAAAAGTTCATTTGAGCGTGAATAACTTTTAAGACTTCTCCTAAAAAAACCAAAAAAAACATAAAAGAGTCTGACTCACGCTCATCGACTCTAAATTAACATAAACCTCGCCACTGATAAAACAGCTACATATGCTCATTAATTGTCAATGCTATGCAGCAAAATCTCATCAAATAAAATTAGACACAAAATTTGCAAATAATAATTCGGAATATAATAATTTAAGGCATCCACACTAACTTTGCATCTAACACATAAGGAAGTATTGAACTAAATTATGTATGAAGACAGAGACGAAGCACAGCTCGGCAACACTTGCAATGCAAAAAAATTAACTTTTTTTGAAAAGATAATTACATGAAACTTGAAAATATAATTACAACATTAAATCACAACCTTTGAAACAATAATTACAACCTGAAATTAAAACCTGAAGCCAGAAGATCCTCCAGAGGTGAAGAACTTGTGGACAAAATTGTTTACGGGAAAAAATTCTAATACTTGTTTGCGATACCCTTGCTTACCGCAAGGGTAATAATGCATTTCAAAAAAATTGCGAGATATATTGAGTATTGAGTCGGAAAATTTTCTCAAACGCAATTTATATTACTTTACTGTTGTTTGAAACAAATAACTTTTTCGGGTTCATTTGATGAATTAAACATAGCCAACTAACAGTAGGAAAAGAGTAATGAACGCAAGGAAACTGAAAAGAAACTGACTTGTTTTTTTTCAAGAGCCTTCAACTTTTGAATTTCGAAGAAAAAAATAGATGGCCTTAAAGCTCTTTGAATTTGTAGAACAATTTATGATGGACACTTTTTTTTGTTAAATTAACCTAATTTGAGAAAACTGGATCAATATGTAAAACTTATATTTCGCTGGGAAATCTGATAATTAATTTCCATTTTCAAAATCAGTAGTCGATCACGTTTTTCGTGATCTTCACACTTTTGCTCTACGACAGTGGAGTTTGCCTTCCATTTCACAATGGAAATGCACTGAATTTAGAAAGAAATCACAAGTCAAACCGCGAAAAATCAAAACTGAGCATGGACATAAAAAGACCTATAGAAGAGACCTGAAAGACCTATAGAAGAGTAGCCACTACGTTCATTACTCTCAAAATTACCAACTATGATAACTTATGACTAATCGAATTCCAAAGCACATGCTATCAAAATGCCGAGAAGGTGCTTCCAAAAATGGCACCAATATTTGAGACTTAGGTTGAGAAAAAAAGAATACTGGTACTACTACTACGCTCGCATGTTTAAATCGAACGGGTTTTTAAAATGTAGACATGCTCAAGATATGTTTGCTGGTTGATGAAAGTACAGATTTGAGAAATTGAATCAATGATTCGGGTTCCAATTAGATAACGCTGACTAATCGCAAATGATTTCAATACTACGACTTGATTTCAACAAAAAACTGGCGCATATAAAAAACACTAGTCACAAGAGCCGACAGAATCTTCAAAGAGTGATAATTAACAAAAGTGATTTAACAATTCGTACAAAAAAGATTAAATTTTTCGAATATATTCAACCCATATCTGCCTCACCTGTGATGTTTTTCTCCTTCATTTCTGTCTCGGTTCTTCTTCTTCTCCCTCGATCTCTTTCTGTCCCCCCTCACGGGTGACCTTTCCCTCTCCCGGCTGCGTGACCTCCTCTTCATCCCCCCTCGACTACTGCTGCTACTACCCCCTTCATGCTGCTCATAGCCCCCTCCACCGCCACTGCCATTTCCACTTCCTCTGCTGGCCCCACTGGCACGGCTATTATGTTCCGCAGAACGAGATCTGGATCTTCTGCAATAACGACACACACAATTAATAACTGAAGCTTAACAATTTCTACACGACAAACAAAAAACATATCGGTTATTTTCAAAACTATTTTGATTTCCCTAAGCTTAAGTCTAGATCAACATCCATCATTACATAATTTAGCAACATTTGCTGTTTTTTTTCTACTGGGTTCAGAATCGAAATACATATATAACTCCCAGATGACTATATTTCAAAATTGCGGTCATTTCCGTTTTAGTGTTAGTTTTTGACTGTATCAGTATAAATTTCTCACTTGGTTTTTCTGTCTTTTTCTGTCTTCCGCTCCTTTTCTGCTCTCTTCTGAAACACACAAAGGCTAGTTTATTATCAAAGCCAAATTGCTCGCAATATGCTTTTGGCCATCGAAGCCGAATGAAGTTCATTTTCGCAAAAATAATCTTTTGACGACCAAAACAAACTTAGAACTTTTCAGCAAGAAAAAAAATAATGTCAAATACAATCAATCTGTCTGAAGAACCGTTTTCTGTCCGACCAATTGAAGACCTCAAGCTCACTTCGCCAATTTCGCCAACAATCATGAACCGTTTTTTTTCTTTCGGAGAGAAAGGAAGAATTTGTTTAAGGATACTGAAGAAAAACAGTGACTACATACTTTTTTCTTCTTTCTGTCGGGCGAGTCGTCTGTTCCCGGAGATCCACTACGATAGTGTCTAAAACAAACACAAACTAACATTACAATTAATTTTTAGTAGAGTCCATTTTTATTCCCAAATTAACCCTTTGCATAACAAACCACTGCACACCTCACTTCTTTAGAGGGCACAAAACCATGACCTCTCTAACTCAAAATTAACTTTGTTTATTGGCACTTCCTTTGCTTTTTTGAATAAAGAAGCAAATAGCATTTTTACACCATTTCGGGTAAAAAACGGATAGTCTCAATAATGCCTACATTTACAGGGTCAAACAATGCTTTCATTTCGGCAGTTAGAGTGCAAAGAGTTTGAGGGCAAAGAGCAATTTGACTTGTGAAAAAGATTTTTAATTGTTTAAAATTTTGGGCAATAAAATATTTTCAATGCAAAATGAATATAAAAAAGCGCACAAAATTACTCCTTGCCGTTTTTTAGAAGATTCGGGCATTATGAACCGATTGAGTCCTACACCATTGATGAGAACTGTGAAATCATCTGACAGACATTCTAAATTTATCTGAAAACGAAACAAAACTTCAGGAAACTTTCCAACCCAACACACTAGAAATATTCACCGTAAAATCCAGAACGCAAATCACGAAAACATTTTAGTTTCATTAAACTTCTTTCGAAAAAAAACTAGAAAAAAAGTTCAAGCCTAACAAGAACAGCCGTTTACTGTGCAACTAGCACAGAATGTTCCGACCATAGTCGTATAAAAATACATTTAAAAAATTTTAAAAAGTTGTGTTACAAACGGTACAAAAAAAGCATTGTAAGCCTGCTCGCTCGCTTTATTCGCTCAAATTGCGACAATAAATAATAAAAAAAAATTGAACCTGTTTTTTTTTCGATACCTCAGCAAAAATTTTAATGTCGATCGAATAACGACTGTAAGGGCTTCAATATAATATATCACTCCACCCATTCCGATAATTATTCGTGGTGGTACCTGATTTTGCCTGGAGAACAAAAAAAAACAATTTCAATTGTAGGAACAATGAATCAAACAGTGTAATAAGGCGCAGAGCTTGAATACTCGAGCAGATGCTGACTATTAACATAAGTCGTTCTGTAGAAACTTTATCGAGAAAAGTTAATTTATGAAAAAAATTTGGTCCATACAAATTTTCACTTTTTTTGAAGTTAAAACATCACAAAATTTAAGGAAATAACTAGACCTATAGCAATTTTTGATACGAAAATAAAAAAAACAGGGGGATAATTTTTTTCTTGATACCGATCTTCAACTGCCTCATTTTTTTGTGAACTTACATCAGCTGAAACTAAAATGTTTACAGCTGAAGAATACAATTTCCAAAGCAAAACATGCCGAGTAACCTTAAAAAACTTGCATAAAACTTAGCAACAAAATTAATAGAAAAAAAATGAGAAACTATTTACAAAAAATGCTCTAATTTATCAAAAATACACAAAACAGAAATAAAAATGGTTTTAGTTTTTACCGAGCGACCACTCAGCCGAAAATGTGCGTGTAGAGGCCCATTGAGCCGAAAACAAAGATGTCATAGGAAACCACAGTCACAAAAATGTGAGCAATTAAGTTTTAAAACTTCTAACTTTTGCAACACAAACTGCCTGATTTTTTAAGCAACAACATAAGCAGACAAATGAAAAAAACAATCAAGTTACGGCCGAAATTCAAACCCCAGTCCTTAGATGAGGATACAACCGCGTTACCTCTAAGCCAAATGGGAAGGAGTCTCTGATTTGCTAAGGTTCACTAATAAAGCAACTTCAACTTGCAAGATTTGTAAGACAAAAGGTTTACGGGAAGAAAAGTCTATTTGCTGACTACAAGACACTTGCTCTCGCAGTGAAGTGTGAACCAATCAATACAATTATTATGCCAGCAATAACGACGTGTTCGCCAGACAGCCTTCAAAAATGTTTCCAGGAAAAAAAGTCCCGAATACAAAACACCTGCTACTGCAAGGGTAATAAATATAAATCCAACCGCGAAAAAGACAAGACTCATAAAATCCATCATTATAACTAAAGTGACCAAAAATGAAAATAAACCAAGGCAAACAGTTAAATAAAATTGTTGTTGAAGTTAAGCCAAAAATCTATCGTGCAAAAGTCTATTATACGATTTTAATAATCGTGCTCTTGTAACTATAAACAACAGTAATTGGTTGGAGCTTTTTTCAATTTCCGAAAAATGCTATTTCCAATGCTACAGTGAAATTTCCAAATAAGTGAACACTTTTAATGAACACTTATTTGCGAGTTAGGTTCGAAAAAAAAGAAGATTCGTGATAATACACTACGCTGATGGCTAGTGTAAAAATACCAGAGAAGTAACTTTTTAATTTTAAGCAAAAAGTGGTATTGATGTACGATCTATTTCATCAGACTTAACTTTCTATTCAAGATTCGCCTGCTTATTAGCTGAAACAAACAACGACAAAATGAAACTTAGGCCAAAGAAGGACAAAAAAGTTAATTCCTTATTTTCATAAAGAATAAAGAGCTTCAGAAACACTTAAATGCAATAAAACAATCCAATAGTTTTGAGTTTTGTCAACAAATAACTTAAGAAATATTCTGCTAAATTTATTCAATAAAACAAATGGAACAAACTTTTGAAAGCTTTCACAAAGTTAATTTATAAGCCGAGATAATTACATTTCCGATTTCAATATCAATCAACTGGCCAATTTAGAACCTACCGAACATTCAAACCAGCTCAGTTCAATTTTTCGACACAGATCTTAGGCGCAGCTTTGCGCTACTTTCGACAATAAGAGATATGTTATGTGCAATAATATTTGAACAAAAAAAACCCAACATATTCCTAATTTTCAAAAAAAAATTCAGGGCATTTAATACAATCAATATATTCTCTATTACAGTTCAAAACATGAAAACTCATTGAAAAAAAAAACTCAATACACAGGCGATTGAAAAAAAGAACATAAAAATTCATCAACATTTTGCAATCAGATGAGCCGATAAATTCAGCTCCATTAATTGCTTTTTTCCTGCTACGGGTAAAGTAGAAAGTCAAAAAACTCAAAACACAGAAAACAAATGCCAAATCTTTAGAATCTCAATTACCCTAAGCATTATTGAATCAATCCAAAAAATTTTCAGCTTAGCGAAAATTGGTTAAGTCAGAGAAAAAATCTAAGATGTTAATCACAAACAAATCGGACAAACGATTGCCTGAAGACAAACACTTTTAATTCAAAAAAGACCTTCTTCGTCCCAAGCATGTGCGTTACCTCTAAGCTAAGCGGGTAAAGTTGGCAGCAAGAATTTTACATGCTAATAGAGTAAACTGATGCTGAATTCTGTGATCAGAGTTTTTAACGGCACTCGATGCTCGGAATGCTTTCGAGTTAATTTTTGATGTTCTAGAAAACTTTGACCTCTTGAATTCTTCAAACATCAGTTTGGAAGCATCAGAGAGACCAGGGAATACTTTTTTCAATTTTGTCATGGTTTTATCTCCTTAGCAGCATAATTAAAAAAATAAAAGCAATATCTTAACTTTGCCTCGCGACGCTAAATAAAAAAAAGTAAACACATTTTTGAAGATGAGAAGACATCATTATATTGAACAAAAATTGAGGACAGAGGCTAATCGGAGTTTCGTATCAATTGCAATACAACTCAAGCTTATCATTGCAAGCTAGCGAATAGAAAATGAGCGAAAATAATTGAAGCGAAAAATTTTAAAAAACGAATATTTCTTTGGTAACAATAAAAAATTCAGGCTCAGAAAAGCAATCACAAACAATAAACAAGGATCACCGGTTACTGTGCAAGAAGCACAGAATGTTCCGACCATAACCTTTGAAAACAAAAGTTTTTTTTTTAAATTGGTGTAGCTTCTTCGTGGTGTGATAAAAAGATCTGACGTACAAGTAACACTTAGGCTAATTTTAAGATTAAGACCATTTATCCAAGGGGGAAGGGACCAACACACGAGCTGTACAGCTCATCACGGCCAAATGATGTTGTGCCCCTGCTTAAGAACTACATGCAGTTTTTTTGGTTATTTTTCTGGGCTGGGTAATGTTGCTTCACCCTCAAGCAACGAGCGCGGATCATGGTGAGCCTCAAACATCCGACCTTTCGATTGAGAGGCGGAGACGCAATCACTTCACCACCGCTCCGCTAATTCAACAGTCATATTAATATTGGCAAATTGGACAAAAAATTTTGCTAAGCCATTGTAAGCCTGCTCTCTCGCTTTATTCGCTCCAAATTGAAATAACAATCCAAAATTTAAACCAGTTTTTCTCGATACTGAGAAAAACTTTTGATAATTTTTAGTGTCGTTCGAATCACGACTGAAAGGGCTTCAATGTGATATATCACTCAACCCATTCCGATAATTACTTGTGGTACTTAGTTTTGCGAGCAAAACAAAACAAAACTAAAACACACCCGAATAAAAAGTTCCTGCCCATTTTTCAAATAGTTGGAACAAAAATCTTTTATAATCTACAGAGCGGCCACTAAGTCAAGATTGGGTCGATAACAAAAACAAGGCCTTAAGACATTGTCATAAAAGGTTGAGCGATTAACTTTGAAATCCGTGAACACCATATCCGACCTAACTTTTTAAAAATAATGTTTTTGCCCTTCAAGCGACACAAAATTGTCTGACTATAAGCCAATAACACATTGGCCAAAACAATTCAGGCCGAATCAAGCATTTAGTCAGGGATATTAAATGTTATTCGGGGTTATTACAAATTACCTGAGTAAATCAATAATCGTTGCAACAAAAATGAAATTTCTAGCAGCTCAAGAAAAATCGAAATCCGAAATGTGGCAACTAAGCCGACCAAATATAAGCAGATAACAAAAATTCTATTTCTCTCGGGAAAAAAATCCATTTCATAGATACTAAGAAAACAAGGTCCGGTCGGGACTCGAAATACCAACCTTAGGATGAAAAGACAACCGCGTTACCTTTGGACCAAAAAGGAAAAAGCCCGAATCAAAATGGAAAAAAAAACCGGAATCTGTTAAGGTTCAATAATACAGCAGATTGGTAAGAAAAGTTGTTTACAGAAAAAGTCTAGTTCCGGTTACAAGACACTTGTTCTCGCAAGTCTAATCAACTATTCGCTTTATGCAGATGACTGAATTATAAATGCTACTTATGCTACTTGTGATAAACAATTATTTCAATCGAATTCAGCACAAGAAATTTTTTGTGCTATAAAACTGTAGACGCGTCTTGAAGCTCTTTGTTTCTGGGTAGTTCTTTGTCATGTACTCGTCCAATGGTATCCGCATCGACATCATTTTCCGTCAGAATCTGCGGCATGAACTGGTCATTCCGTCGTAACTTCATTGCGACAGCGGCTAAACCAATTATGTAAAAAGAAGCAACGACAAATCCTGCAAAACAGCTGTCAAAAACTTGTATCGACTTCCAGGTAGGGTAATGAGTTTGGTAGTAAAAGGCTGTTTCCAATACAAAGAAAGAAGCAACAAAAAATATTACAGCGAATAACAGAGTAAATAACAGATCG